AACTGAGGCTTGATGAAACACTAGCACATCTTACGTTCCAACATAAGTGAAGCGGCGTGAAGCAGTAGAAAACGCACGTATCACGTGACAGTTTACAAAAAGAATTGTATGTATCACTGTTTCTTAATCCACCGCACGAACCTATGGGATCAGAAAAGCATGAGCTTGTAAGTTATTCCCATAATAAATCTTTGAATTTTTGAAGGCGGTGAAATGAGAAACTGTGCGCAGTAGACAAAGAAATACAACACCTCATGCATGTGAGCGCGGCCGGGAAGAAACAGAATTTCAGTCAGGTTATTTTTAATCAATGGATTCATCTGAGATAACGTTCATTATTTGAAGGGGAATCTATGCGAATAAGACTTGTGTACAATTGTAAACGAACGATGTGAGAAAAATACCTCACATTCTTGTTCTATGAACGTTCAACTTCTTGGAAGCACAGTTTCCCCGTAACGACATTGAATAAAGAAGCCAAAAACACAGGTTTGCACAATGTATCCTGGATCATCATCTAGCTGCATCTGTACACGCGCATTTAATGCATTCTATGCGATCATTAATATGTGGTCAGTAAATAACCGAATCATGGGCGGAGAAAGATTGCAGTCAAAATTACTCATCAAACACATTTGTTATCAAGGTAGCTCCAGAGTGATAAGCGATTCACGCTGTTTACACAGTTTGGGATGGTAATTTTGAATGGCTAGTGTCTCGGCGTATTTGAGAACCTTGGTATTTTTTGTTTTGTAGAGGATTCTGAACGCATCGCGCAGCATGACACAGTGTTTCATTTCGACCAGGTGTTGTGTGATCGACGAACTGAGTTTCCCACGCGTCATTGGTGACCTCACACTTCCGACGTTTTCACTCATTGTTTTCTGAAGCCAGACTGGGATGGGCTCGGTTACTCGATAGCGCAGTTGTCTCTCCGTTCTGCCGATGTAGATGGCCGAGCATCCACACTTGAACTGATAGATACAATTAGAATTGACGTGGGGAGATAGCGGTTTTTTCACCGATGGTATTGGCAGCCGGGCGGTTGTAAAAACAACAATGGGGTCAGCTGCGTGATAAGTCCGCTTAACGGCTGATTTTAGGCGCTTGGTAATCAGGCAGCTGATATCGTCACCTTTGAAGGACAATTACAGGACCACTCTCATCTTATCTGCACCTGGTGTCTTTTCCCGGGTATGGTTGGGTTGAGAGTGTTTAGAGATTAACCCTTTCGGATATCCGTTAGAGCGTAGAACTTTTCTAATCTTTTCATATTCGGTATCCAATGTATCTGTTGTGCAAATCGGCCGCGCCCTGTAAAAGAGCGTTCAAACTAGACCAATCTTATATCCCATTGGAGCAAAGCTGGTAAAATGGTAAAAATACACCGAGGAACTAGCCATTCAAAATTACCATCCCGAACTATGTAAACAGCGTGAATCGCTTATCACTCTGGCGATACCTTGATAACAAATGTGTTTGATGAGTAATTTTGACCGCAATCTTTCTCCGCCTATCGTTCTGCTATTTACTGACCATATATTAGTGATCACATAGACTGCAGAATATGCACGTGTACAGATGCAGCTAGATGATGATCCAGGATACATTGTGCAAACG